AACCCACCAGCTCTGGTGTATGTGGCTGGTGTCTTAGCTACTTGAGCTACAGGCGCTGAGCCCTAATGAAAGATTCTTAAGCAGGGAAATGATGAAGTTTAACTTCTTTGTTCTATTTCTATTTTATGAGGATCATCATTGCTGCTGCATGAATAATCCATTGAAGTGAATAGGGAGGGAAACTTGGACACCAGCTGGAATCCTGGTGCAGAAAGCTGGGTGAGAGGGATGGTGGCGGGTTCAAACCCAGCCCTGGCTGAACTGCAACGAACTTAACATCTCTGGATCTCACTTTCCTTATTTGTAAATGGAAATGGATGATGATGAATAGTGCCAGATGCCATGAGGTTCACAGTTTTCCTTAGATCCTTTGTCACACATTCCCACAAGGTAACCTGTAGTCCCAGCTACTCGGGAGCTGAGGCAGGAGAATCGCCTAGGCCCAGGAATTGGAGGTTGCTGTGAGCTGTGTGACGCCACAGTACTCTACCGAGGGTGATAAAGTGAGACTCTGTCTCTACCAAAAAAAATTGTTTTTGGACCTTTTTTATTAAAAAAGTGTGGTAACTAGAAAAATTTAAATTACATATGTGGCTTACATCTGTGGCTCTCACGTTATTGGACTGAGCTGACACAGACAAAAGTCACTAAATTAAAAAAAATATTGTTCTGAAACAATCTCACTCTATACCCAGATTGGAGTTCAGTAGCATAATGATAGCTCACTGTAACTTCAAATTCCCGGGTTCAAGCAATCCTCTTGCCTCAGCCTTCCAAGTAGCTAGGACTATAAGCATGCTTCACTAGGCCTGGCTAATTAAAACAATTTTTTTTGTAGAGATGGGGATCTCACTGCATTGCTCAGACTGGTCTCAAACTCTTGGCCTCAAGTGATCCTCCCACCTTAGTCTCCCAAAGCACCGGGATTATGGGCATGAGCCACTGAGCCTGGTCTAAAAAGTATTTTTAGAGTAAGCGTACATTGGATACATTAGAAATTTCCAGCTGGGCATAGATTTCTAGCTAGGTGTAGACTTTTGGGGTACACAGAAGATGTTCATTTGATATCATAATAAAACAATACAGTTAGGGTCCTGTCCAACCACAAAGAGCAAAAGGAAGGAAAGATTCGAACTTGAACATAAAACTTCAAGATATTTGATGTGACAAGTATATATTTTAAAAATAATGCTCCTAAAATGCCTCAGTTGTTGACAACTGCAAGAAAACAGAAAAAAGTCAATAGCAACACAGTTGAAACCAAATTTAGAGCAAATGAATGTGTGAGGCAACTTTTCTAGCAGTGAGCATTTTTCTTTTCTCATTTACAGTCTTCTTAAAATATCTTCATACCAACTGAGTGGGCAGGATGTTTAGGTGGAATATCAGTTACACAACATTAGCATAAACTGGGACAGCTACAGATAGGGTATTGTTTTCTGTTGAGCTGGTAAAGTGACCACCGAAACACCAGATCAGTTCTCTGAATGGAGAATTTTATCCAAATAAATGCCACCTACTTTCCAGATATATTTATAATGTATTTAATATACAAATACAATACATTTGATAATTTCTTCATGGGACATTTATAGGTGATTTGAACTTAAAAGGACTTTAGCTTCTTCAGATTTTATTCTGTTTATAAGAATAACCTTCAGTCTGGGGCAAGGTTGTTTGCAGTCTTGCTGAAGGCATGCTGTGTAAGGTCCTATAAATGAGGAAGGCCACCCCTGAGGTCATGGAGCTTAATAGGAAGAGCATGCATTCTAGGTTTGAAGACTCTGGCTCTACCTTGGCATCCATAACATGTGAACTTGGACTTGACTTCACATCTCTGGATCTCACTTTCCTTATTTGTAAAATGGAAATGGATAATGATGATAGCGCCAGATGCCATGAGGTTCATAATTTTCCAAACATCCTTTGTCACACCACCCCCCCCCCCCAAGGTAGGCACTTCCTTTTTATAGAAGAGGAAACTCAAGTTCAGAAAGGGTGAATGACTTAAGGTTACATTGGTAGAAAGAGGTGAAGCCAGGATTTGAACCTTGGTTTTCCTGGCACCAAAATCAGCTGGATTTTTTTTTCCCCTCTTAGCATACCGCTTATTAATTTTCCTGCTCACCTCTGAAATTACTGGGAAAGTCAACTTAGACTGATGAATGGGTTTTGCAAAAATGTCATAAAACGCGCAAATGTACGAGATTATCAATCCTCAATGAAAAGGGAACGTAAAAGGAAGCTCCAGGTAAATATTCCTAACCACTGTATGAGATATATCTATCAGTTGGAGTAAAATGAATTTCACATGTTGTTTTCAGATTCAAGCTCTGAAGCTTAGATGACAAAGGGGTAATTTCCTTCCTCGGGATGAAAATTTACAGGAATTCAGAGGAAACGATTTCAGGGGTCATTTCTAAAACACTCAAGAGTCAGATGCACTTGGCATCATACATTAAGTCCCGTTCAAAGTCTTAAACAAACATCAGGCCTGACCTGGCGTCCGTCAAGTAGGCTGGCTCTGTCTGGGAGAATTCATTCAGCAACCAGCAGAGAGACGTCCCGAGGCAGGATGGAGAAATTTCTTGTGCTTCTGCTTGTGCTGTCTCTTCCCTTCCTGACTATCGTCTCAGGTGGGCATTTGCTCCAGAGAACGTCGTCTCTTTCTATGCTGACGTGATATACTACAACAATAGTTTCTTTGGTATTTTCAAGTATATATTTTTTTCATTTAAAATAGTAGGTAGTCTATAATGTAAAGGTATTTCAATGCTCTTTCTTTTTCTTTCTGTAAGAGCAGGCTTACAGAATTGTTATCATTAATACGTCTTTAAATGTGCTTGAGAACTAATTCTTCAAAATGCTGATCGTAGCTTTACTTTCTTTATCGATCATACGAAATCACCAAATGTTGATAATACTTCGATGGGCATGTGATAATATCTTTTAGAATTTGCATGTGATTATCAAAACAATGTAATTTTACTGTTATAATAATTCTCTTTGAGGGACTGTAATTTATTAAGTTTAATTTAAGTTGATAGGTCAGTGGGCATCTTCCAAGTCCAACATTGAACTTGATTCAGTCTGTTGAGGATTTTAAAAATTTCCACCGAAACAAACCTAAAAAACACAGATCAGAGAACTGAAGAAAGTGTTGTGTGTGTGTGTTTTTAACGTTATGTGGTTGTTGTGGAAGAAAATATGTATTCATTAAATTTATACCCACTTTTAAAGGACTAGGCCATTGCAATCAGTAAATGCATTTAGGTGGTGCAGTTTTTTTGCTCTAAGTTAACCATATTAGAAACAATTTAAAATTCCTTCCTGAGCCTTCTGGAATGCCAAGTCCTCTGAGACAAGTCCCTGGGAAAGAACATGAGTGTTCTAACCAAAATTGAACTTGCAAATCCTTTGCCTTGGACTGTGGGGATGGAAAGTGAGAATCCTTAGTGGCTTTCCTGACTTTTCTAGAGGCTTCCCCCATTCTGAAGGAAAAGGAGGCCAAACAGCTCCTGAGATCCCGGCGACAGGACCGGCCGAGCAAACCTGGATTCCCTGATGAACCAATGCGGGTGAGTGCTTGGTTCTGGCATTTTTAAAGGAAACGCAATATTTGAATGCTCATTCACTGCGAAACTGAACTAGGTGTTTGCCCTGGCATGCGAGCTGCTAGTTGGGGGGTCCTGTTAGAGTTTCAGTTATAAGGCACATGCAGTGTCAACCTTTTACCTCCTCATTTTCTCTTCTGGAGGTGCCAGCCTGACCTAACCTGTTGTGAGTATACAGTAGGAACAGTGGGGCTGCTGGTGGGAGCCCCAGGATCCTGAGCTGGCTGCTGGGGACCTGTCCTCTCTAGCTGGAGCCAAGTCTATTTCTCCTTCTTCCTTTGGCCCCGGGGCTGCTGTGGCTGTGGTGGTCAGCCCAAGGCAGGATCTCTGTCTCAGTTGCCTGGGGGTTGGGGTGAGGTCCTGCCCTGATCTGATCACTCTGATTTTGGTCCGTGGCCTCGGCTCTGTCCTGTGGGCTCATGGTGTCCACCTGCACAGTCTTTCGGAGCCAGGCACCCTCTCCTGACTTCATCAGGGGAGTTGAGTAGATGTTGCTAGACCTGGACCCAGTTCAGGCCTTGCTTGGCTCATCCTGTGGCTAAAATAGTCCTGTTTTTGTCCCACCCTGGTGAAGGTAAGTAGCAGTGACCCAAGGAAGAGTGTTTGGGAAGCCAGCGTCTGTGGTCCAGGCT